GTACAGTGGCCGCCATACATACATACGTAGTACAGTGCAGCCCAGTGCAGATGGCTGGCAACTCTATGCCTCCGGTCAAATCTGTTGTGTAGGACACTTTAAGTAGTTCTCTCCAGCCTCCTCCAACTACGTCTAGTACCATCTGTGTGTGTGTTCGTGTGTGTTTCTGATTCTGATGCAACTGGCTGCACCGCCCAGAGGTGCAGTGCAACATCGTGTACGAGCCATCAACATGGCCATTCTCAGCGTTGTTTTTTTTGTGTTTGCACTGAGAAAAATGAAGGTTAATTAATGAAATTAATAAATTAATTATGAACATATCCAGAGAAGATTTCCCCAATCTTAATCTTAACTATTAAATTCCAATTTTATATTGCCTTTGTTTTTGGATACCTTTGGGATCCGACCGAAAGCACATCGAGAGGCAATTGTTCCTTAAACATAAGTATAAATTTGTATTCCCAATTTGAGGAGCTATATATAGCATCCAGATATACATAGCTTTATTTTCCATTTTCCCTCAGCTGAAAATAGTTCGAAATAGCTTTAGAGTTCAGCTACTTTCTGCTCAGTGTGCTGCTACTCAAGTTATACCCACTTACACATGCAGCTGGCTGAAGAGGATGCTGCATGTTGCATGCAGCCTGCACGAATCAGGATGAGAATGAAGAGCTTGGCATAGGCCTGGCCCGCTTCCAGCCGATCTGTTATTATGCGCCCGGCGTGGCGCATAATGCAGCTAATCTAGGGAATTAGGTGGAAAGGGCTGACAAAAGCCAAACAAGCTGAAGTCCAAGAGCCACTGGATGCTCTGTTGATGTTTCAGCTGATGCTGCCTGCCACCTGGCTGCTGGTGCTACTTCTGCCGCTGCAGTATCTGCAATTTTGTTTCCTATTACGGAGAAGAGTGGAAGACGGGAGGGGATGCTTGCCGAGTGACTCACAGCGCTTATCTACGGGAAAATGTCCTATTCTTTTTCTCGTTGTCCCTTTCTCAAGGATTTACGGCAGCAAAGTAGCTAAGCGAATTAAAAAACTAAACTCCAAGTAAATTAAATGACAGCCAGAAGTTGCAGGAAGGCAGGCAGTCGCACTCGCAGTCGGTCGGTCGGTCGGTTGGTCGGTTGGTCGGCTCAGCCTCTCAGTTGATAAGGCGCTAAGCCCAAGGAAAGGCAACGGACAATGATTTTGCCGCAGAGACAGGGCCAGGCGCTAGGGCAGAGGCGGGAACCGCAGTGAGGAAAATGTTTTAAAATGAAATCACTTTTAATGAGTCATTCAAGTGGCATGAAGGAGGCAACAGACTCGACTCGCTGCGACTCCAGCTCCAACTCCAAACCCGTCTCGACTAGCCATCCAGGCAGCATAAAAATAATAATTTTTACACAGCTACAAACAAGCTACAAGAACGGAGGCGAGGAACCAGAAAAGAAGCCAGCTTTCGGTGTCGAATTTGGGATACCCTTGGACCGTGGTTGGACTTTCTGCAGAGGCAAGCAACTGGTTTTTAGAGCCATCTTTCCTGATTCACATTGCCAGAAAATAAATTCTAGTTGCAGAAGGAAATCATAATACATATTCCCTTAGTGTCAGAGGGTACAATTAAGATTGCTCAGAAAAGGAAGGCAAAGCAATAATAATTTCGCGTACGGACACTGCCGAGTGGATGCTCCAGGAAGCGTCAGTCGGCAGTGAGTGCCGACCAGAGCAGTGCAGGAAATCACCAGCAACGCGGCATCAACAAGTGGTCTCGACTCTCTATCTCTCTCTCTCCGTGATTTAGCCAGCTCCTGCGGCCATTTCACTTTGCTTTTCATTTTATTGCTAATTTTTTTTGCGCTCTTTCTCAGCAAGTTTTTGCAAATTATAATGACAGCCCCCGGTCCGGCCCAGATGCGGAATGGAATAGACTGTTAGTGTCGGGCGTGGCGTGGCGCCGCTCTGGGGGTCGCTGGTCGGTGGTCCATGGAGGCGAAATAGACATTTAATGAAACGAAACGACAACAAATTGTTTAAACATTATTTGCGCTTTCCCTTTGCCGTTTGCCGTTTGCCTTTCCTTTCCTTTCTGTTCATCTTTGCTCGTTTTTTTTTTCTTTCTTTCTTTATACGTTATTGTTAATAAAAAGACATTACAAGGCAGATAATAAACGAGAAGGAGACTACTACTTGGGGACAGAACAGAACAGAACAGAACAGGAGTCTTGCAAATTGAAATTGTGGACGCTTTGACAGCAAACGGGGGAAATCATTCATGGAACAATTTGTGAAAGGGTTTCAAAATTCAAGATGCAATTCACCAGATACCAGAGAGAAGGACTCAAAGGAGCTAACAAGCAACCGTCCAGTGAGGACAGATTTTAGTAGGAGGAAGTATGGAACACGTTTCACATTGCTTTGGTTGTACATTCAATTTATGTTATGTTTATGCATAGTTGGTGCAGATTTTAATGAAGTTTTTCTTGCTGATGTACTTGAATGATCTTGAAGAGATCTGGAAGATGGTTAAGTCCTACGTCCAGAGCGCGCAAAACGATTATTCCCCTGATCCTTCCACATATATTTTTATAAGCATTCTCCTTCAATTTGTCAGAACTGGGGGTCGACAGCTCCTTGCGTATGCCCGCTAGAATATGATGAATTCTCTTAGATTTTCTTCCGTTCTCCGACTGATAGGTGACACTTGGGTTCCTGGTCGGGTAGTCCAGCGGAAAGCGGATATCCAAGTGGAAAAAAAGTGGCATCCTTCCAGCGGTTCCAGTTCCAATTCCCTAAACTCGGAACTTTAAGGCTTTGTTTGCTCTGCAGTGTGACCGCAGTGCGATCGATGCTTTTTCACTTCGATGCTTTTTATTCACTACTATCGATGGTATCATTCAAACAAGTACTTACAAAATGATCACATAATTAATTATAATAATAGTAATATATAATATATAATCAAATTTTATTTTTATTTATTTATATTCAAATTTTTTCATTTGCATATCTCCTGATAATCATTCGATCATTCCGCTGGGATTAATTACGTGGGACTTGGTTACTGCACTTTAGCGTGTCCACAGCCTGGCTTGCCCGGTGACTTGGAAGGCAACCCGTATATATTTATTACAAAATGTTGTCTATAGTTATTAGAATATTATTTGCAAGAAGAAAATCATGAAATTATAATAATAATCCATGTAAATGATAAAGATGGGCAGATAGTCACTTGGGGATCACACCATTCATGTTGCTGTCTAGCGTGGCAGTGAGGAACACCTCTTTCAAAATATCCTTACGTCTACGATCTGGTTGCGAGATCCGAATGAAACGAACTGGCATGGGTGTGAAGCGAATTCGCATCGTTGTAGCGTGTGACGGAAAGATTAACTTGCCCACGGCCACCCAGTGTTTCATGTTGCAAGAGACCTCCATGTCGTAGCTGTATTTGAGCACAAGTGTACTTCCGAGACTACAGGCAAAAATAGTATTGATTATACAGCAGCAGCTCAGGCTGAGAACCATCTCGTTCATGGTGACCAACAAACGGCTCGCCCCATTGGCCACATCCAGACCTAGACGCACGGATGCACGGTAGGGCAGATTACACGACTCGATCGCTTTATCGATGGCTTCTAATATGGTTTCCGATGCGACGATTCCAGATTTGCGCACTGCACCCACCAGGTCTTTGACAGCAATGAGAGGGAGGCGTACAAGGGACACCAGCGACTTGATGTCCACACTCTGATTGTGGCGACTCCAGTTGTGTAATGCTTGGAAGATATTTAGTTCGTCTTCGGCGAAAGTGTTCCGGGGCAGGAGTGCTTCAAGTGACTCCTTGGATAGCAATAGGAACGAGTCGTGTTGGACCAGTACTGTCGCAATTTTGTCCATAAACTGGAGGCAGTTCATGGTCAGCTGTGCATGATTGACTTGGATCGCGTTGTTCAGGATCGAGCACACGTTGCCGACGGACAGGCTCTCGTTCAGATGTGTGGCCAGTGCCGACTCGAGCTCGTGCAAGCCAAAAAAATTGGACAGGCCGTGCACCTCGAAGATGGCATCCACGTCCAGTGTGTCTACGGTCAGCTTGCCCGAATAAAAATAGCCCAGGATGACCTTGAACGACTTCAGCGGCACATACAGGCGAATCTGGCGCTTCTTTGACTCGGCCGTGCCCCCGTAGAACATTTTCCGAAAGTGTTCACAGCGCGTTGCAAGTATCAGTCGGTGCGCCGGCAAGAGCTCATCCTCCACCAAGAACGACACGTCCGAGAAGAGTTCGTTCATGCAGAGGCGGTCCATGTCCGCCAAGGCGCCCGCACCAAAAATGTGCACCAGCCCATTCTCGGTACTGCGGCGTTTCTTCGCGCCACCAGATGACGAAGTGGACGTTGCCTGGATGTTCATTTCCGTAACTGGATTTATCTGTGTGTTAGTGGATCTTTTCATATTTCCGTATACTCGTATTCTGTAAACTTACTTATTATTTTGGCTGGTTGCTTCAGCAATTTAAGTTCGTTGAAAGCACGCGGGAAGTTGACATCAGCTGGAGATTATCGATTGATCTTACCGATACATTGAATAGACTGCACTAAAATGTAAACTTTAATAAATATATACTCGGTCTTAATCACTTACTATTATTCCGTGATAGTTGTTGCATTTATTTTCTTAAGCTACTGATTAATTGTAGTTTAATGTTGTACTGAGATCGATGAATATATTTATATTTATATTTGACAGCACATTTTGGCTTTTTTTACACATTGATCTTGGCGATTTCTCATTGATTCATTAGTGAATATTCTATTGACCAGAATTGATATGGGCTTTTAACATATATTATAATTGGAATGAAAGTATAGTTGCGGTATCGATGCGGTACTATCGATATCAGTAAGTATGGGGAACTATTATCTCTATTGTTTGCCCAATGCAAAAACCACAATTCCCATCACTACAAAATATAAACTTCGATAAAAGGAACTTGTGTAAAATTGTCTGCGTAAAATATGTCTGAAAGATATGGCTTATCTGAATATCCTGAGTTGGAGCAAGTAATTGATTGTATTTTCCGAGAAAGTATAGTGTCTCGACCATACGAATACGCTCCACCACCATATTCGGAGTCCACGCCGGGTTTGGCACACCCACGCCATGAATATATTGCGCCATTGCCACCACCAGCTTACTCAGAGGATGAGCCACCAAATTCGGAGCTTCCGCAGCCAATAGCCTTGTCAACTCTGTCCTCTGCATTCTTCGAGGCCACAGACTTCTTGGCTGAGCTTGGTGTGGCCTGTCGCTCGAGTGCTGCTGTCGATACCCCACGGATGAAGTGTGCTCGGGCGATCGTGGGATTATTTGGTATCAAGTGCGCAAACAATTTGGTCGATAGCTGCACCTCCACAAGCTGCGATCATACGCTTCGCAGCGCTGCAGAGGTGGTGACTGAACTGATGAAAATGGTGCACAGCCAAAATGATTTCACGTGTATTTCATATACATTGACCAAAACAAGTCGACCCATATTCGAGGCTTACTTTACGGCATACGTGGCCGTGTTTGCTAGCGCTGGGATGGGTTTGGAATTGTTGGAGATGCTGAAGGATTGTCGCCTCTTCAATTTCAATGGAGCTGCCAGTATTCGTCCAATCTTCACTGCCTTGAAGAGCATGGGAATGGAAAGTCAGGCTACGCAGACTATGATGAGTAACTTGTGTGAGCCCGAAGAAGCACTCACATTTAAGGCAGCGACGATCACTGTATTGGAAGTGTTGGCCTCCTCCAACTGGTACGATTATGTTTCCGTCCTTGTCATGTTGACCAAGAGATACGATTTCGTCATACCAACGGAGATATTGAAAACCATTCTATACTCCACCTTCGGGAAAAGGGATTGGAAGACAGCAGCCATACCGTTGCTGGAAATTATTCCCAGCCAAGTTGCACAGCGTGCAGACATGTTGGGAGTAATTCAAATGCTTGAAAAGTTTCAAAACAGGTAAGAAAAATATCTGCCCTTGGCAAAGAAACAAAATATTAAAATATTAATGCATGTCTTAGTGTATAGTTCTGCAAGAACTTGCTTTAAAATTCCTTCCAATCCCTACTGTAACATCTAACTTATGGCTCAACCAATTAGTTACACATTTTTCCAATAAATCTCAGACAAAGTCGAACAAATGATTTCGTAGCAATTGATTGCTAAACTATTTCTCACTCACTGAAAAAGTTCTGCAGCTTTGCCATTAACCTTTCTTATATCTTAATCCTTTTCTTTCTTTCTTCGTTTCCTTTTCTTCGACTGCTCGTCCAACTGCGAATGATTTCACTTAACGCTCTCGGGATGTAACAACAATGTTATCATTTAATACTTCTTTGTTCCTGTCATTTCATTTCTTTTCCACTTCTCTCCCTCTCTCTCTCTGGCTTTCGCCTTTGATGCTGTTTCCTTTTAGAATCCGACCCGGTTTTATGGTTCTTTGTTTTCGCGCCAAATGCTTGGAAATGATTTTGTACAACGCTCTGCCAAATAGAAAATCATCATAATTTCCCTTTATTACCAGACTTTTTACCCATTTGCCATAGTAGTTGCTGCATGGACTTTTTATGGACAAACTTTGCACTGATGCCCCGCCTCCGCCACCGCCTCCGTTGTTGTTCTGGTTGTTGCTTTAATTGCCATTGTCGTGGCCCTCCCTCCTTATAGCCGTTGTCATTGTTTGTCACAGTCTGTTCCACTCAAGCCTCGTAGCACCCTCCTGCCCCCTGCCACTCGTCTCATCGAGATCTAGGGACGGGTGTTGGGAAAAAATAACTTTGTCGGAAACTCCTTTGATTTGTTTTCTGCACAACAGTAAAAAGTTTGCGGACTCAAAGTTCTTTTTTTTTCGGATATGCCGCACCAGCACCCCACCTGTGTGAGTGAGTGAGAAGTGTGTGTGTGTGTGTGTGTGTGTGGGTGCGATGCTGTTGAACTTTTCAAGACAAAACATTTTTGAGTTATTAATGAAAAGTTGTTGTTGCATAGCCACACACACACACACACACACACACCTACAGGTGCTGTGGGGCCAGTGTCTCAGTTTATATAGCAAATACAAGTGCTAACTAAATGTTATGCTTTCATTATGCTCAGTAGCTTTCACAAAAGTTTCCTGTAGAACTTCGGGCAAGTTCTCCTCTCTGTGCCCTGGACCTGGACCTGGACCTGGACCTGGGACCCCGCCCCTGTATATTGGCTTAGCTAATTTTTTCTCCTGTTCTGTTCTGTTCAGTTGAATTCTATTCTGTTTTGTTGTACACTTTTTCTGTGTGGGGTATTAATATATGGATAAGGTATTGGCAATGCAGAGAGTGGTGAGTCTATTCCTTTTGGATTTGATGTAAAGTTCTACGTTAACTACAGATTTCACACAAGCATTAGCTACTCGCTCGAACAACTGTTAAGGTATCTAACTCTTCGACTTGCTAATCCTGGCACTTTCTCTGCTTTGTTAGTTACATTTCCTTTAGGTGTACATATAGACACGCATTTGTGTTTGCCTAAAGTGCACTTCTTAACTAACTTGTCTAACGCAACTAATGAAAAGATTTGTTATTAGTTTTGGTCCAAAGCACCACTCGAAGCGGGTGGCAAAAAGTGGCAGCACCAGAAGGTAACTTTGCCCAGGGAATTATACATAAACATTGCACCCGAGACCAAACAAAACACATGGTAGAAAAAGACAACAACGAAAATACGCAAGAAATATGTTGGCAACTTGAAAAAGTAAATAAATATTTGAACAACTTCTTATGGCCAACTATTTGTTTGGCAGACGAAAAGAACAAGTTTCTGGGGGGAAAATCCAAGACAAAACCAAGGTGAGTTCAATGGCAGTGACGCTGAGGGTGTGGGTGTTGGTGTTGGTTTTAGTGTGTGTGTGTGTGTGTGTGTGTGTGTGTGTGTGTGTGCAACTTTCAAAGCTATTATGTGAAAGTTTTATTTTTCGTTGTCCACGGCCCAGGGTCTGCCCAATCGACAAGTTTTTCCTCTTCGCTTGGCCTAGGTTAGGGCGGAATTGGATTGGCAAATTGTTCAGCACATAATTTCAGAGGCAATTTAACAAAATAAATTCCAGTAAATTCTTTAAGAAGAATGCCTTCCAAGTCTAATGTCTTATTTCATCTCTTTATTGCACTCAATAACATTTACAAAACATGAATGCCAAGGCGAGAGCTGAAACCTGTTCCCGTCCCGCATGAATGAATTTGGGAATATCCCACACTTCGCTTTGGCGCTCTAGACTAAATTGTTTCAGATGTCCAAACGATTTGCTTAATATATTAATAAAACCCATTTAAAGTCTTGTTCGAGCGGTCTTAAGTGCCCCTAAATATGGCCATAGCCACAGGCACAACTCAAACTCTGACACTGGCCATTGTTCGGCCCACAATTGGCATATTAAATTACCGATTTTGTAAAGATTTTGTGAATTTAACATAACAACCACTAGCGTCGGCTATTTTTAGCCGTTGGTTATCTAAACAGATAATTAAGTCGGCTCTGAGTCGCTGCTGTCTCTCAGCTGATTGATTGACTTTATCGGCCGCTTGCGAGTGGCCTTATCAACACTCTGCTGAAGTCAATCTCTTTGGCCTGGCCCCGTCCGGGCCTATCTAGATGCAGCCACAAAATGCATAAAAGACGTACGTATCTCAAACTACACAACAATCACAGGCACAGGCAAAGGCACAGGCACAAAACCACAAGGAGGCCACGCAGGCAAGAGCGTCTCTCGTCTCCAATTGAAACGAGTTCTTAACGGCAATCGTGTAGGCCGAGGAGTGCCATCTTTATGGACAGGTTGAAACCACTTCCTGTGTCTCTGTGTCCCTCTCTCTCTCTCTCTTGTCCTCAGATTGTAGCGGTTGAGTTGAGTTGATCGACAGGCAGTTCAACATGAAAAACGAAACCCCAAAAGGATGACACACAATTTTATGGTATTTTATAATAATTAGTTCTCTTTTATTGGCAGATACAAATCTTGTGTGAAAAAAGTGTAGAGTGATGCGGTTTAAGTGCCTCAATAATATATTTAACTTTATGGAATTTGAAATGTTTGCTATATAATATAATAACAATGCATCCATTACGCTTTTATCCATGTTTGACACGTTTAAATCTAATAAATTCACACTTGAAAACGGAACTAAACTAAATTTAAATAAAAAAACCATCGATATACTGTACACAGATAATAATAACATTTGCAATAAATTACACGCTTAATTATGTTTTATCACGTTTGAATGGGCGGATTTACTGAATAACTTATGCATAATTAGTAGACATATGTACAACCCAGTCTTAGAAATAGCATTTAAATCAATTCGTTTTTCTTTCAGCCCTGTGATGATGGGGGAAAATGAAGACCGCTCCTCTGGCCAGCAGTCGTAAATTCTTCTCAAGGGTTGTCACTTCTTCAAAGATATACAATCCGGGACATCTGCATCTCCAGCTGTTTCTGCGGCTGACCAATGCTGGACCACCCGCTGCCCGTTGTATCTGACAAACTGTCGTACAAGTTCTGTGGCGTCTGCGAAATATATAACCAAAAAAAAAAAACAAACATCATTTAAAATTCCTTATATTGAATACACACACCATAAATGTATACACAATTTGATGAATAACGAGAGTTTACGAGCAACAATGCAAAGATATAACTATGAATGTGCTAAAATTAATTATTTATGACATAACTTACAACGCAAATCAAAGCCGCGCGTGAGGCATTTCAAAAATACAATTATTGCATTTATGGCATTCATTACCTGCTCATCAATTTGTAATTGGATCAGTAATATGTATTCCAGGGCGAAAACCTGGCCACAAAAAGCATATCTTGTTTGCTGTAAAATTCATTGTTAAATGCTGTAAAAAGAATTTATATTTATGGCTGGAAATGATTTGTGTGAATTATTGAAGCTGCAAAAAAATTGCTGAAAAATCAATGGATTAATTATGATTTGCAGCGACTGCTGCTGCTGCTGCTGCTGCTGCTCCTGCTGCTGCTCCAACGTTGAAGTCCACATCCAGAAACCAAAACCAAACCAAACTACAACAAATGCACGAACGCCTGTGGAAAGAGTTTGGAGAAGAAGAAAATGCTGGCAAAAAGAGCCAGGATTAAAGCGGAGGGGGGGCTTGGGATGGGGAATTGGGAGTTGCTTTCGACGTCGCCACTTGGGGATTGGTGGCAAAGAGAAAAACTCTCTACAAATGATATACATATATATATATATACAGAGCTGGAAGGAACTGCAAACACGCACACTTAAACCCACACAGAAGTGCGGCTGGGAAAATACTCAGCAAAAGAGCCAAAGAGCCATGGCCACAGCTCCATGGCCAGGTGAAAATGGATTCTGAAAATTGGGTTAATTGATGCTTAGTGTTTTGCTTCTGTGTGAATGGAAGTGGGGTTACGGGGGTTTGCCAAGGGTCGTGGGCGTGGTTATTTAGCGCCAAGTGGCTAATAGTTTTTGCCACCAGCACAGCAGAGCACAACCCGTTCCCTGCTGCTCTTGCCAAGCGGAAACGGAAACAGGAAATGCGCACAAGGAAATACACAAACACAAATGCCAAAATGGCGGCGTCGTCAAGGGGGATGGGCAGTGGGGACTGGGGTCAGCTACATATACGCCATATACTACATATATTGCAATTAGCATTATATCCATTTGTCGAATTATACACACCGGGACTGCCCAATTCCGTGAGATTGGCACTCAGTGTGCCACCCGCTGGTCCACCATTGAGGCTGTTGCTGCCTGCCACAGCACCAGCGGCAGCACCGACTCCGCCAGTGGCTCCACCACCACTGGCCGCTGGATCCACCGCCTGGCAGGGGAGCAGCAACAGTTGAAGGAACAGCAATGGCAGTAGCATTCGCATCGATGCCGCTTTGAGCGTCATTCGCCTCATTTTACAATTTGGTATCTTGGCTATGTGTCTGTTGTACGAGTATTCCAGCACCGGCATCAACATGGTCCATTGGTTGTTGCTGGGCGGCTCCTTGGCTCCTCCTCCTTCCCCACCGATGTCTCCGTTATTTGTGGACGATGCTCTGCAAGAGACACAGAAACAGACAAAGTAATGAACTGACTTTTGGCTAAATTGTAATTGTAATTGTAAATGTAATTTTAGCTTTTGCATTGGCATTGGCATGGAAAGTATCTGACGGATGGCAGATTTCATTAAGTTAAAGCTCCTGTTTCTCGAGTTTCTCCCACAGACACAAAATGTATTTGATGGATGAAAATGTTTCCAATGGATACAAATGCATTTCATTTAAAGAAACAAAATGTGTTTGTGCAGCTTTTATGTTATTTTTTGTTGATTGGGCAGATAAATAATTCTTTTATAGATTTGTTTCTCACAATATTGATTTTATAGACGCGTAGTTTTTGTTTCGTTAAGTTTGACATTTAAATGCATCTCACTTTTTGTTGTTGTTATTTTTATCATACACACACGAGAGTATCTCTTAAGCCCACAAATGTATCTCACATCTGCAAATATGCGCATCTAGCCGCAAAAGATGCAATTAATGTTATTTTTTTCTTGTTTGTTTCTTAGTTTATGGCTGCTTGCACTTGCTGGCTGTGTGCAGTTGTAAAGTATCTTGTAGATACCAAAATGTATCTCAATGTACACTCCTCGGAGACTGGTTGCAATTAAAGTTCTTCGTTGGCAGCAGTTGAAGTTGTTCTTCTGCGGCTCCTCCACCGTTTACACGACATCTGCTCAAAGCAGCAGATACAGATACTCTCCGCTACATACAGCTCAGAATGTATCTCGTCCGCGTGCATCAAATTACACATTTGGCATATAAATTGCTCAATTTCATGTATTTTGTGCCTTGTGTCAAATTGTCATTACACCGCTCACGATACGGGACAGACACACCCTCGGTTTTGCGCTAATGTATCTTGCAGATACAATTGCTGAAATTGCACTTTTAGCACTTGGCCACGAAATGGGGAACGAAGCGAACCGAGGCGTATCTTCCTTGTAGTAATTTTTATTTTATTTTATTTTCTTTTTTTTTTTTGTTATCCCCGCTTTTCCGCTTCAAATGAGCAAAGAGAGATACTTCCAAGGTAATCTTCGCATCTCCTGCAAAATGTATCTGCTGGTGTGTTTATTTTTATGGTTTTTATGTCCTTTTCATGGGCTTTAAATTATCGATTTGTCGATTTGTTTATACGAAAGTAACACCTTGTGTCGTCGCCTGTTTTCTGTTTCTTTCCTTGGCGGCCTCCTCCCTCTTGATATTTATGCATTGCACTTGTGCCACAACTGTCTCTGTTCCTGTTCCTTTGCTGTCTCTGGGCTAAGGGCTTTTGGGGTTTTCCCTTACGCTTTTTCTTTGCTGCTATTTGCTGCTGCTGCTTTTTGTTACATTTATAAATGGTTTAGAGCACATGTGGCACACGCACAGCTGCGGCTACAATTTGTAACTGTAGCGCATTTATAAACGTCGCAGACCGAGACCCCGACTGGCTGCTGGCTCCTGCTTGGTTCTTGCCTGTGTTCTGCAGGTCCCTGGGAGCGCTGGTCCTTCAAATGTTTACACACGCTCAAGAACTTTTTGTTGGTCGTCAACAAACCATCAAGCATTTCGCCTTTCGCCTTATCAGCCAGGCATCCAACGCTAGATCCTAACACTGGCAACCAGAGTTTCCTTTTCGATACGGATACGGATACGGATACGATATGGTCGGTGGTCTGTGGTCTGTACCCGACTTGTGCTCGTATTTGATTTAGCCTCTCGGAGAAACGTGCTCACATGCGGTCTGGTTGAATTTTCCTCGCCTCGCTTTTGTTGTTTCAGTCAATTGCCGCATTTTAAAAACGCATAAAATTGCTTTATGTTTGCCTTTCCCCATACACTTGAGTTTTTCTTTCCACTGGGAGTATCTTCAGCTCTCGTTCCTTTTTTGGGCTTATCCCCGGGCGTAAATTTATGCAAGGCGCCTTAGTTCGGGGCACATGACAGACGCGTTGGCGTGGCGTGTTCCTTTAGGTTTTTCCCCTCAAGGAAAATGCATGCCGCATGCCGCATGCCGCTGCAGCTGCGTCTCTTCTGATATCGCTTCACGTCTCGTCTCTGTGCCTCAGTCTCCAGTGTAAGTATCTGTAAGTGGTGCATAAGTGGCACACGGAGAGAGAGAGAAAAAAAGTAATGTTATTGATGATTTATTTGCATTTGGCATTGATATATGCTAATGTTTTTCCCTGCCTGCGACTGCCACAATGCCTGCCTGCCTGCGTCTTCCTTTGTCTCTCATAAAGTAAAAACAAAACCGAACCGAACCGAACCGAAACTGAGTAGTAGAAGCAAAAAGGTTACTCACGGTTCCCCTTGGATGGATGCACCATGGATTATGTTATCTCTTGCTTGAATGCCTGTTGGCTTTTCAATTTTTCATGTCCGTCCACAGCAGAAGACAAGAAAATATTATGGCATTTTTTGTTTGGTTTTTCGTTTTCTTAAAGTCATTTTTATTTGCATTTCGTGATTTCGAGCAGACAGATAAGCACAGAGAGAGAGAGAGAGAGAGACCCCAGAGCGACCTCAGCAAATGGAACCCTGTGTCAACTCAAATATTTGATTTAATTCCCTGACATAATAATTAATCACTCTGCACCTTTTACGAGGCATTTGTAACCCCAAGGCGGTCTCTACTCGGACTCGGACTCCGACTCTGACTCTTTCTCGTTTATTTGTTTATAATTAAATATTATTTGGCAGTCCCTACAACAAATGAGACAGAGACCCGTCGCGAGTGCCATTTATCAGTCAGTCACTTAAGTTTCGTTTCGTTTTTTCCTCCCTCTCTGTGATTCTTTTGTTTAATGAGTTACAAATTTGGTTTTTCAGTTGTTTAATGGCTGACAGCATTATAGATTAGTGGCCGAAAGTTTTTCTAGTTCTGCCGCTGCCGCTGCCCACTTTACAGCTTTCCAGCTCTCTTTTTTTTTCCTTCTGTCATTTACATGATCTGGGAACTGTTTGCCCGGCGGCTGTTTTTGTCGTCTCTCGTCTTGTATTTTGTATCTGGCTACTTGGTGGGTCTTTCGGGTCTGTGTCTGTTGCCTCACTAATGTGTTGCATGCGCCCCAGCTGCTGCCGCTGGCCTCCTCCTTCTCTTGATGTGTATTTTTCTGGGCTAATAGTCTCGGCTGCCGGTTTTTTCTGGGCATTGGGTATTTGTGTTAATTGTATGCTCGTTATGAATGTTCGTTGGCATTTAAAATTATTGCACAGATTATACTTAGAAAGGGACGTGGAGTGGCAGGCACTCTCTCGTACAACAAATTCCCCCAAAAGACTCAAATATCTGATTATAATTTATTGATTTGCGTCTCTGTGGATGTTGCAACTATTTATTCAGGTGTTGCGGCAGAAACTTGTGGGATTTATTGAACGAATTTAGTGATGAAATTTGCTTAAAAGTGGAAAACGCCGTTTATTGGAAGCAAATTTAAGAAGATATTGGAGGAGACATCCAAGAAGAAAGGTTAAACCATCATTCGATTGTCATTCAAATTACCTTTCTGTCAGTTACAAAACAATTGAATAGATACAGATATCAGACAACTGCCATATTTGGTTAAATTTACCCAAGTAAATTGTTCGAAAAAGTTCTCCACTTTGGCTCAACTCTCTCTCTGAGTTGATTAGCATATTGGCTGGAGCAGCAGTTCTGCCACTTCTATTCGTATTTGTGCTAAGAGATTGCCTCATTCATACATACATTAAAAATTCATACACTCGACTGTCAGGCAGTCTTGGGGCTTGAGATTCATTTGAAATTCAAGTGCCACGGCACACGCGCATTGCTAAAAGTGTCAAATTGGCAAAAGTGCTTTGCTTTTGCTGTGCGAGAAACAAACAAAACACAGAGAAATGAAAATGAAATATTCTAAAACAAACTTTGAGGCCTACTGGAAGAAGTGCTGCTGCTGTTGGTAAGAGAGGGGCATGCGGAGTGAGTGTGTGGAGTCTATAAGAAATTGATATCATTTATCAAACTGACACATACAGAGAAAAGAGCGTGGGGCAGGCAGGCTGCCAGGCTGCCAGGCATCACCGTCCCATTCCAGCAGCTGGAGATGGAACTCGAACTGGAACTGGAACTCGAACTGGCGCTCAAGCGAATCTTTTCTTTGGAAACTTTTGCAAATGAGGCAGCAGTCAGCAAACGGCACATAAATAAACATGGAACAGCAGCAGCAGTGGCAGTGGATTTCGGGGTTGGGGTTGGGGTTGGTAGGCGTGGCATACGCCTAATTGAATTCAGCTTTCAAGAGTAAGCGAGAAAGGCATAAATAATCATGAGATCGTCGTCGGTCCGTTTGTCGGCGTTGTTCTGCCACAAAATTAGTTCATTAAAGAAGTTCAGGCATGATTTGCATATCACCCCGGCCTCCCCCCATGATTAAATAAAAAATATATAAAGAAGTGTGCCCGAAGAAGACCTCAAAAATGAAAAAAGAAACGAAGGAAATGTAAATTAAAGTAAACAATCCAAAGAGCTATTCAAATTGTTTTTTCCACCCTCGAAAAAAGAAAAAAAATTCCAATTGCCAAAAACTTCAAAAGTCAGCAACATGCAACATGAATATCAAAATCGACGGCGAAGAGCCATAAAAAATATATATATATAAATGTATAGGAAGAGGCACGAGAGCGTATAAAAAAGAGTGTTTGAGTTTGTATTTTCATGGAAAACGAGTGCATCAGCAGCAGCAGCAGCAGCAACAGAAGCGGCAGAAGGGGCACCAACAAATCAATGCCCCACCAACAATAACCCAGAACGGAACCCCCAGCGCAGGAACAGCGAAACATTGGGGCAACACCAGCGCATGGAGGAGCTGTGCGTGTCAGGGCCAGAGAGAGAGAGAGAGAGAGAAAGAATGAGCGGAAAAGGCGCACAAAAAATGCTCGTACAAATAATTCTGGGAAGCCCTTAGCGATCAGCGGCCCCGTCCCGGGCACTTGTAATAAAAAATATTTTCAATAATAAAGTGTATTAAGTTGTGAAGTGCACAGACACA